CCCCTTCAAACCATAAATATTATAAGTTAAACCTATTTGACTTTTAAGATTTTTGCCCACATCCAAAGTCCAATCTTAATTAGTGAAACCCCCTCAACAACTGTGATAAGATGAAACTACCATCATCAGTAGTTTTTAAAATAATTTTAATATTTATTTTCCATAACCGTCTCACGTAATTGTAAGATTACATTAATTCTCTCTCCATATAACTCTCTTTCATTATCTCTCTCTTTTTCACGCAACTTCTCTCTTTTTTTGTTCTTCTTCAGCCCATAATCCTCCACCACTCGCCAATGGACACCACTCAGCCGCACACGGCGCCGGCGCCGGGTTTCGATTCTCCTTCCGAAGAGCGAACGAAAAAAGAGGAGAAAAATCAAGTTTTTGAGATGCAACAGTTTTCGTGCAGAGGCCAGATTGGAACATGTATCCGTCGGATCGGGTTGATATTTTTACGCAGAATTAGTAACACATAAATATAACTTATGAACGGTGGAGATCCGAATCAGACTTCTCTAAATAAAGATCGGATCTTAAAACTCGCTGCTGGTTTTTGTTACTGAATAATTCAGGGCAGCTAGATTGGACGCGTTTTTTGTATAATTGAACCGTTGGATGTGACCGAAATTTGGATAACATATTCAGAGTATATATTTTTATATAATGTACGGAGGAGATTGAATTTGGTGCCCCTAGCTCCGGATATAAATTGTGAAAGTATCACAATTTGGTAGTCACATAGTAGTTACATTCTCATGTTTTTTTGTAGTGTTGCACATCATGTCGTCAACCTTGATGATTCTGTTGAAGTATGGAGGGTCGTTTGGGTGAAGATATGCCAGGGTAATTTTGTGTATGAAGACCTCGTCGACTCCCATCCCTCTGTCTCGTTATTTTTCTATCTTTATTTATGTATTTTTCGATCGTTTGGGTGAAGATATGCCAGGGTGATTTTGTGTATGAAGACATCATCGACTCCCATCCCTCTGTCTCGTTATTTTTCTATCTTTATTTATGTATTTTTCGATTTTTTTTCCAGATCTGAACAACAGTAGTAACATGACTATAGTCATATTCGAATATGACTATAGTCATATTTATGTATTTTTCGAATATGACTGTTCAAGTTGACTTCTAATAACAAGATACAAATTGTGATTTTTTGTATGCATGTTGATTGAATTGTTTTCGTAAATAATAGGGAATCTTCGTTGTTTTATATGATTTGGTAAACATGACTATGCCATATAATCGGAATTTTTAAGTTCAAAATGTAAAAAAGCAACAATATAAAGAAAGAATATGACTACAATTTATAATCACATATAGTCATATTCAACTATAGTCATATTCGGCGTTTCAAACCTGTCGAGAAAAAAATTTCAATTTTTTATTAAAAAAAAATTAAAAAAAAAAATTGAAATAATATTTTTATTAAAAATATTAAAAATAAAAATAAATTAAAAAAATGGCTAAATAAAGTCCGGAAATAATATAAAAATAAAAAATACAAAAATAAAGTCCGAAAATACTTTTTTTTTTATTATTTGGTAGCAATTATTTAGGAATGTGGAAGCTGATTTTTAGGAATTAAATAATTAAATTATTGTTATGGAAAAAGAGAAAAAAAGAATTATTGAGATAAATTATACTAATTAATCCTAATTAGCGGAATTTAGGTGCCTCATTAATAGGAATTTTGAAGAATTATGGTATGGACTTATCACCATTTTTTACCAATAGGAGGGGTGTATTGCTAAAGACCTCTAAAAGTATTTACAGCAAAATATAACTACATTTTCAAGTCACTTTTAAGTTTTAACCACTTCGTTAAAATGTGGCAATAATAAATAAATAATAAAAAAATTAAAATTAAATATAAAAAAAATCCCTTCAGCTGTAATAGGTCCAAATTAAAACTTAAAAACATGTGGGCTTATTAGACTAGCCCATTAGCAAAGTGAATTAACAATCCATTACCATACTCGGAGCTAGAACCGACACGTGTCGTGACCCGACCCGTGGGTATATTCACTTTCTTGGTGGGACCATGAAAAGTTTATCTTTACTCTGAAAAAAAGTTTGACATTGACTCGAGTGCCTTTACTTTTTTCTTCCATTTAGGTCCAAAAAGTCTCAATACAAATTAGTGGGATGCGGCATAATGTGTCATATCATATATATATATATATATATATATATATATATATATATATATATATATATATATATATATATATATATATATATATATATATATATATATATATATATATATATATATATATATATATATATATATATATATATATATATATATATATATATATATATATATATATATATATATATATATATATTTATATATTTTTATATTTCTTTTTTTTTATTTTCATTTACATACACAC